TGTTCATGTTAATTTATTTAATAGTGTTTGAAATAAAACATATGTTGAATAAATTAAATCATTGAGGATTGAAAATTATTTTTATCAGTAATTTTGAAGTCTGTCAAAGGAGGAACTGAAAGTTTCAATATATTTAATTGTAAATTTCATTTTTCTTTAATATTTCTTTGAATATTTTCTTTTATTTTATAGGAACATTCTGTTCATTATGAGTCTAAATTGGCACAATTCTTATTTTGCTCTCCCAAAACAGTAACAGTGTTGAGATTGTAATCTCCAAAAAAGGTGTTGTAAAACAATAATCATCTGATTGATATTATAATAATTGCCAGAAGTAATCTAATGTGATTAAATAATATAATAAACTAAAGAGCATATATTCAATTTCCCTAATTAAGATTTTTCTTGTATTTGAATATACAGACTGGACTATACTCCATTTTAATTAATTCCAATTTTCTTTATTTATTAACTTACTAAAACTAAGAAATCTTGAAGCACATTAACCATCATCATTCTTATGGAATGATATGGTTATTATGTAATGAAATACAATATATAGAAGTTGTATTTTACTTGATATTTATATTTCTAGATTTGATAGTTTATATAAACCGGTTTGAATCTGGAGTGTCTATTAGGAGATTAAGAAATATTGATTTGTAGATATACTGAAACATGTTAGATTCTTAAGGAGTTATATTCTACTTGGCCAAAAAGACTCTTAGATTTGATAGTTTGTATCAATCAGTAGTCAAAACCAGAACATTTACTAAAAAGTATATACTTGTATTAAAGGTTCCTCTATACTTGTGAGCTGACTAGATATAAGATATAAAGTGATAAATAATTTGTGAAGATAGTTAACAATATATATCTAAGCTTTTATAAAAGTATAAGTCTTATAGATTAGGTAGTTTAAAACTAATGATAAGATTTCTACTCCTTATAGCCTCCTAGTATTACTATGAAAAGTTATTAAGTAATGAAATTTCAGATATTAGATATAAAATTGATAGACTAATATTTAGTTGTAGTCATATATTATAAAGAATATCTGATATAATAGATAATATTGAATGTCAATAAAAGAATTTGCATCTAATACTATTTAACTTAAAAAAAAAAAAAACACAATGGTTTGATTCTTATATTAGTATTGAACTTAGAAATATATTTCTTATTAATATGGATAATAGAGTATAATTGATATTATTTGTTGTTATGATAGTTATTATTATTATTGTTATATTAAAAAATTAGTTTAAACTAATTTAATTTTTGTTTTGTTGTTTTGATGAAATCTGATTAGATAATTAGAAGGTGATAATTATCTAAAGACTAAACTAATTTTGATTTTTTAAACAAAAAGTTTTAAAAATTTTGAAATAGTACAGTAAATGTTACAATGATAGAGTTGTATATAAAGGTTATATTAAAATAAACAATAAATCCAATAATTTTGTTTGAATATATTTTTTGAAAAATATTTGGTTTAATATATATAATAATATTGATATAGATAGTTTTTATATTATAATAAATGAAAAGAAGAATATAAGAAAACAAAAGAAAAGAAAACTGTTATGAATTTTTTCTTATATAACTGAAAAATAAACAAAACTTTTAAACTTGAATAAACTTTTTTTTTTAATATTAGTTAAATATAAATAAATAAATAGGTAAGTTAATATTTAATTTATTAATGTTTTGTATTCAAAAGATATTGTTTTTTTTATAATGTATATAACTTTATACTATAAATAAAGAAATAATATTTATTTATCAAAAAAAAAAAAAATTATTTTAATAATAATTTTATACCATTAATTATATTTTCAAAACATATATAAATCTATTATTTTTATTTTCTATTATTTTAATTTTAATATTTTTAGATTCTTTAATATTAATTATTATGTCATTAATTATATTAAAGAAAATAAATATTGTTTACTTATATTTTCAATTTGATTAGAGTTAGAATTATGTTTTTTTAAATATTTTTATTATAAAAATTATAAAATTCAATTATTTTATTTTTTAAATTTTCTAATATTTTTGTTCAATTGAAATTTTTTTATGTATAGATAAATTGTGATATTTCATAAACCATAAATTATAATTAAAATGTTGTGAAGTTATTACTATTAAGATATTCTAAAATAAATTTATTTTTTAATAAATAAATCATTTCTAATTTTATAATTTTAATAAAAATAGTTAAATTTTATTAAGTACAGTTAAATACGTATTTTTATATTGATATGACTGATTTTTTTAGCAAAAAATATTAATATATTATAAATATCAATGGTTTAATTAAGATGTTTTTTTTTTAAAATATTGATATAAAAAAATAACAAATATAAAAAGATTTGACTGTATATACTAATACTGTACGTACTTTATTAAATTTATTTTTTAATCGTTATTTTTTCTAAAGCATAAAAATGTAATAGATGCTGATAAGATTATTAAATTCTATTGGACTATAATTGCTATAATTGTAATTATATGTAGATTTATCACATGACCAGACAAATCTTATACATATGAAACCAATTTTTCTTTCTTTCCTTTCCTTTTGACAAAAATGCAGAATAAAACGTATGTCATTAGATTAGAATAGTTTTTGTGATTTTCGCGTAGAAATTTACATAACAAGTAGTACTTCACCCAGTAAACCGAAAAATGCGCGATCCAAACGAGCCCTTCAGAAGCGCGAGCCCAAGGTTAAAGAAAATGTTAAAACCGCGCTTTTTATTCGGGGAACTTCCACAACCGAAATAGTCAATGAAGCACTATCAGACCTTGTGAGAATAAAGAGATGTTGCATTAAAATTAGGTTTTCTCTAAAGTTATCGTATTTTATTTTTGTAGTGTCGACTTAAAAAACCCGATTCAATTACTTTTAACAAAAAAAACGAAATTCGACCATTTGAAGATGATACCACGCTAGAGTTTCTTTGTCAGAAAAATGACGCATCACTATTTGTCATTGGGTCAAACTCGAAGAAAAGACCTAATAATTTGGTCTTTGCTAGAATGTTTGATGGACAAGTATTGGACATGATCGAAGTCGGAATAGAATGGGCGGTACCCATGAGTCAATTCAAGGTATTGCTTCAGCGCATGTCAGTTTCATCAATGAATTTACTAATATTTTTTCGGGTATTGATTTTTCATTGTGAAAGACGCCGAAATGTACAATAGGCATGAAGCCTCTTTTCATTTTCACTGGTAGCTTGTTTGAAACTTCTCAGCCCCACAAGGTCTTTAAAAACATGCTTCTGGATTTTTTCCAAGGAAAGGTCTTGAAATCATTTGATCTAACGGGAATCGAATACGTGATTTCTGTTACGGCGATCGGTTCTCCTTTACCTGATGAAAGTAATGTTAATCCATCACGAGTTGATGGTAAAATATTTTTTAGAGTTTATACGATTAATATGAAGAAGTCGGGCGAAAGAACGCCTCGAGTTGAGTTAGAAGAGATGGGACCACATTATAACTTCTTTATTAGAAGAACAAAATTTGCTAAAGATGAAGTGTATAAACAAGCTACTCGTATTCCAAAAAGCTTAAAGGTAATTATTTCCATTTATTTTATTATTTTTATTTTCAAAAATTTCTTTAATCGCAATTTAATGGATGGGTAATACGTTTTGTAGCCAAAGAAGGAAAAAAACATTGATGTCAATGAGATGGGTGACGTTGTAGGTCGTATTCACGTTGGAAAACAAGATCTGAGTAAACTACAGACTAGGAAAATGAAGGGTCTTAAAAGGGAAGCGAGAGAAGACGATAGTGATGATGAGAAACCTACTAAAAAGTTAAAAAATTAGCATAGGTGCAAACTATATTTAGTTTTCATTGGCCTGTCTTAAAGGTTTATGATTACTCGTTAGGATGGAAATTTTTATTGTTTTTTGAAAGCAATTATTTAATTATCACAATTACTGTAATTATCAGTTCACGTACATACTTTTATATTTGAAGATAATTTAAAAGCTAAAGCAAAAACGGGATAATCGCTTTGCGGTTCTTTGGGTAATCTTTAAATTCTTTATAGTAGTTTTTATGTTTCTTGATCGCCCAAAGGTACATTTGATAGAAACCCACTGAAATGAAAAGCACGGCTACAATAACAGTAGAAGAATGAGGAATTAGGGTTTACATTCTTTTAATTATGAATAAAAATGAGAAAAAACGTCGTAGTCATCTTACCAGCCAATGATTTTGTTAGGGCACAAATGCTAATCCATGCAAGGATTTCAAAGAAATAGTTGGGACATGAAACCAATTCAAAACCGTAACCGCGTGGAATTCTTCTAATCTTTGTTCCCGGTGGGCGAAGGTTGCGAAGTGTAATATGGGTACTAAAATTTGAAATTTGTGCATACTAAAACAAAGAATGCATACTTGGATTCAGTAAGAGAGAATGTTATCAAGAGAATAAAATAACTATTTTAAAAAGTTACCACGAAAGTTGCCAGGCAAGTCCAAATAAACCATTCTTCGCGTTCTCCGTCAGGGGTTCCCACGGCATTCCAGGGTCCGTACAGCCAGTAGGCCAAATTTAAACCGCTTAATAAGTGGTAATGGGCCGAGTTTTTGAAGATATTTCTTGCAGGCATGGTACTATGCGAGAATCGGTGAATAAATAGCGTTTCGACCTCGCGTTTAATAAAATGCGCCATGATCATATAATACGCGATTCTTATTATGTAAACGTGCAAAATATGAGAAAAATCATCATTGATCAAAAAAAAATTTTTTTTGTACTTGTAAATTATTCTTACGTTTGTATTCTACCATGTTCAAAATCTTCGCCGTAAATTTGTTTTTTAAAGTAATAAAATATCGGATGAAGGATGAGAGGGCCTATGTACTCCACGAAGAAAACCATGCGCCAACTTATTTGAGGACCTTTTTTTAGAATGAATAGAGCAGATGTTGTCGACAACTTTTCTCTGGAGACAGAAAAAAAAAAGAAACTCGAGAATTGCAAAATCTTCATGACAATCGACCTAAATCCTTAAACAAAATGGTGTCCCCGTCCTTGATATCATATTCTTTCAACTTTTTTTCATCTTGCAATGGTTGTTGTCCGATGGTCAGGCGTTGGCGGGTAGGATAGTATTTCCTAACTTTCTTATGTAGGACTTCTTTCAGCTGTTCAACGGTTGCATCGGAAGGAATGTCAACGGTGAGAGGAAAAGATTTTGATTTTCCGGAGCGGGAAGAGATGGTAATTTTCATTGTGAAGTGCCGAATCACGAACTCTTGCTTTGCTCATAAAATATTTGACGATGCGTTCGTTGGGAAGATTTGATTGGACAAGATATACACATAGTTGCTCTTCACACGTTAGCTAGATTCAGTTTATATGGACGATATTACTTGGAGAATATATAGATAAATACAAAAAAAAATTTTTATCCCACGATCTTCTGCATAAATTTCCTAAAAAAGGTTAGCACCGAAAAATTCGTGCAATTTTCACAATTGACATTTTAATTAGCTCCTAAATTCTCTTTTTTTATCTTCCTCGGTCTTAGGATTTAAACAAACATGGTTTGCGCACTTTGTATTTCTTTTCCATAAAAATTTCATACTTGGACTTATACTTCTTAAATCACTTTCATGTTTTAAGGTAAATTTATCACTTTACACTACCATCGCCGTAATACTTCTTGACGGTGAGGGAAACAGGATTCTTGCCAAATATTATGGTCCCAGGAATCCCTATCCTACATCTAAAGAACAAAAGGTCTTCGAGAAAGGATTATTCGAAAAAACTAGAAGAGCAAACGGTAGGTAAAAGACTTGCTATTTCAAACATTAATAATAACTTGTTTTCAATCTCGAATTATGATAACACTTCTTTTTATCTGATTCAGGTGAAATCATTCTCTACGACAATAACGTGGTCCTCTACCGAAATAACATTGACGTCTTTTTCTATGTTGTTGGATCTGCTGACGAAAACGAACTTTTGTTAAGTAGCATACTGAATGCGTTCTATGACGCCGTATCCAATTTGTTAAGGTTTGAAATCTTCCGATTTGTCCGTTCCTGGTTGTATCGTAGTCTTAATTAACATAAACTCTGATGCAAATAGGCATCAAGTTGAAAAAAGGACCATTGTTGATAACTTGGATCTTGTGGTACTGGCTTTAGATGAGACGATAGATGACGGGTAAGTTTGTACCCTTGATAACACATACACATATTCACTCTAAGCATCATCGCTGACATTGTATTACTATTTAACGATAGCATTGCATTGGAGACCGATTCAAATGTGATCGTATCTCGTGTATCTCGTCCTCGCGCTGACACGACGGACATTCCCATCACAGAGCAATCTTTTATTCAGGCATATCACACTGCAAGGGAAAAGGTGGCCGAAAGACTATTACGTGGCGTGTGATGGAACATATGATATAGACGTTAATATATATATATATAACTGTTTAAAAAACGATCTTCTTCGTTCTGATTTTGGTTTGGCCGAGAACATTGTTTAACTTCAATTAAATTACTCAATTACATGTGGATATTATAAAGTTTAATATAATATTCAAAAACCTCTGTAAATATACACGGGTTAAACGATTTAATATATTAGTTTGGTTTTTTTTTTTAATGATCTTGTAATGTCATTGTCCATTCACTAACCTGGCTTTCATCTGTAGAACTGTGTTAACCTTTTTCTTTATTGCTTCTTTAAAACGAGCTTCTGAAATTTCTCGTCTTATCCTCTTCCTCCGAATAGTAGGTTTTTCATAATATCTTCCGCGACGCACCTCCTGACGAATCTTGTTTGCATTTAAGATTGACCATAATCGTCTATAACCTATCGTAGCATTTCCTGAGACATTAACTGTTCTACCAGCAGTTGGACTCCTGTCACCTTCTGCCGGTCTTGCTGTGGGAAATGCCGGAGAATACATCACAGATGGAGGTGCATCAAAGGGAGTAGAAATTTGTGTACTTTTCTTGCGAATATTCTGGGTGAACAAGTTAGGCCTGAAAATGTTATTTGCAAAAGTGTTCAATATTGGGCGCGCATTTGTTCTGTTTGAAATAAAATCTTTAATCTTTGGCAGAGAAAACATTATCTTGACTAACTTTCTAACGAGGGCATAATAACATGATGCTACTACATATTTCTCGTTATCTGATCGACATTATCTTCAATGCATATGATGATTGGTTGAAATAATCTATGCTATGTATTTTTGCGTGTTTAAACAAGATGATGTTAAAATACTGAGGATTCAAAATTATACGAGACGTCCGAAACGTTGAGAAGGTGGAGAATACGCGTTCCTAAAAAATATAATCACCTCCGAACGACCACCAGACATGCATAACTATGAATCACTTGGGAAATTTTTACTTGTGTTTCCATTCCTTTGAATATCATCGTTATCCATCGATAATCAAGATACTGTATGTTCAAGGAAGGTAATCTCGCTCGATCCAGGTTAGTTAATAGAGTGGGGTAATGGAAATATTTAAATTGTCCAAGAAATACAAGATCTTGACAAACAAGAAAAAGATATTTCGATTAAGAAAAAAATTGCTATGAATCATATAACGAATCCATAATTTAATTGATGAGTGCTATCATCAGTTGGCTCATTGGTTATGTCAGAATTACGAGATCATTCTTTTGCTCAAATTTGAATCTTCAAAGATGGTTTTGAAGAACAAACGAAAGATTCGATCAAAAACTTCTGACTTGGCCGCATTTCAGTTACGGATGTTCTTACATCAATAAGCCAAGGGAGTTAAGATCATCATTGAATGCATCGAAGAGTATACACCAAAGACGTGTGGGAATTGTGTGATTCATGCAAGGTAGAGATAGATCGGGATGTGAACGGCGCCAGGAATACCTTGCTCAAATATTAACAGAGGGGATACGATATGCATAGTAAAGATTATCTTTATTTATTTATATTGGATTCAACTTCAAGGGCAAGGTACTTGCACCAACAATCTATCCTCAGCACAAATCACTCGATCATTACCGAAAGTTTCAACAGCGGACATCCTAATTTCCTCAATGATCTTGGAACCACATCCTCTATAACGACTGCTAAAATGAGTTAATATTAGTTTATGCGCATTAATCTGGGCCGCAAATTTTCCTGCCATTCTTGCGGTCGAGTGTCCTCTTCATTATATTGGATGCAAAGAAATTTTTAATGAATTTACCAAGAATTAGATGACATCTGTTTGTATTCATGAAAATAATGTTCACCTTCTTATCGCGCCTTCTTCTACTGATTCATAACTGGTTCCCGGAGGATCTGACGAGGTCAAAGCGTTGGTGGCTTCGTGTACTAACACATCAGCATTCATGGCTGTGTCACAAAATATATGTTATTCCAACTTTTTCTACAACAAATAATGTTAAAACACTGATTCACCTAAATGAATGATGCCCGATGGATCGTAGGTATCTCCCAGGAGAACAATCTTGCGTCCCGGACGTCGTGGTGGCGGTTCGATTATCGTACCATCAGGCAAGTGGAGAGTCTCTCCATTTTGCAATTTCTTCACAAGTTCCATTGGATTTTTTATTCCCAATGCTTCTTTGTTGCGTAGCAAGATTGGTTTTATTACTTGAATATCAATTTTCCCCGGTAACGGGTTTTCCGAAAATACGTAACCCAAGCATGGAATCGAATGCTTGATTGGTGCCGCTGTAATTTTATATGATTTTCCATCAATAACCTCCCAATACAAATTTTCGCCTGACCTTTGTAATTGTATGTTTTTTCCTAATTGTTCAAAATCGTATAATTCTTTCTTGTCGGGATGATCCACGGGATCTTCCGGAAAAAGTAACTCGTGAACCATATAATCGCGACCGAGAAAAGACCGCGTGAGTTTTAGTGTTTGGCGAAGGAATTTACGAAGTCCTGAAGGCCCATAGATTTCAATAGGATGCCTTGCGGTATCCGAGGAAGTTGTAGTCAAATTTTTGGTTGCTGTGCATAGCAAAGGAGGCAGTCCAAAAACATGATCCTACGTTTGTTAGATACTGTACATTAAATAATTTGTGATCTACGATGTTCAAAATGTCATCTTTCACTTACGCCATGCAAGTGAGTGATAAAGATTCGGTCAATTTTTCCCCATTTGATGTTTGAGACCTTGAGGATTTGATGTTGCGTGGCTTCTCCCACATCAAATAACCATGATGTTCCGTCGATGGTTAACGCTAATGATGACGTGTTGCGATCGGGCGTGGGCTGCGCGGAACTAGTACCCAGAAACGTGATTTCTATCGAATTGGTCATTTCTAGGGAATTGACTACTTCATTTCAAGTGTCAATCTTTGGCATGTATGTACATGACATGACATTTTCGTGTAACATTAGTCCACAAATTTATTGGTTAGATTTCAATGGCATGATTTTATTTTTGTAATCCCACGAGTTGTCCTTAATTTGTCTACTCCCTGTTTTCTTTTTTAACATCTCGAAAATTTCTTATTTTGTTTCATAACAAACAACGAATCTCATTAAACCAAAATTTGCACTTACAAGTAATCCCCAAGGGTAATTTTCCTATCTTCATTTATATGTTAACTGTGTTGGATCTTATAATTCTCGTGTCAATAAGCCGCCGTCTGATCTGGGATTTCCAAAAGTCTTTGCAGACGTCAACAACAACAAACGTTCTTGATAATATCTTTGTGAGAGTGAATAATGACGGACGACATCGAAGCTCGTTTGGTTGACTCTCAGAATAATAATAATAATAATAATTCAGATAATCGTAAGGTACTTACTTTGCAACAAGCTTGGACTTCCTTCAATCATTTGACAGATTCAGAGGTGTCATATGGGTTTATTGCGCAGTTGGCGGGATGTTCGGTTGCCGAAGTGAGGCAATATTTTACGGGAAAGGTAATCGGTACAGAAGTGAAAAAAGAAGGATGAAAGAGTGATGTTTCATAAGGGCTAAGGATTCACTGACCTCTCCGGCTTCCATTTTATTCGTTTCTAACGTTTTAGCGTAGGTCTCGCAACGCAACCCAACCACTCTCGCCTGCTTCGACTTTGTCTTCACCTCCGGAATTCACAAGTGAGTCCGAGTTCAATGAACTTTCCAAAGCCCTTACCAACAAAACCCGGAGTACGAAGAACCCGAAAAAAGGAAGCAGAAAAGGTAGTTACTACAATTGAGGATTCTATCATGAAATTACCTGTGAGAAGGTATATTTGACGTGACGTTGGTATCATCATTCATACCTTTCTCTCTTGCGTTCAGCGAACGTACGTCCACTTAGTGCCATTACTGGTGGTGGATCATCAATTGGCTCACAGAATGATTCTTTAGTAAAAGATGAGTTGACGTACGATGATGCCGAACCTGATCAGCAACGAAAATCAAAAAAGCAACGCACAACGTAACTTTACGTTCTTTTCCTTCACACTGTTAAATTTGTGCGGTTTCTGATCAGAGGTTCATCTCGTAATAGGAAAAAGACGTCAGAATCATCTGACTTTGTTTATACAGACGGAATAGAGAAGCCTAAAAACAAACGCAAGGAACTTCCCTCAAATGGTGGTAAAGGTCAGAAGAAGCGTTTCAAGCGTAAAAGAACTGATCTACCGCCTATTTTTCTAAGCGAAATTAATGGTGAAACCCATTTACAATCGAAACGATGTATAAATAACATGTATAACCAATTCGAGCGTTGCGTTTCATGCAAGTATTAATTATCGACTGATTTTCCAAGTTGCCATCCGTTTCCTTTCATTATTAATGCTTATTTAAATAAAATAAAGGTATAGCAAAACAGACAGACTTGTGTCGATTCTTGAACTTTAGACTTTTTGGAGTTGAAGATGAGGACTTTGTGTATGGTCCTTCATTTAAGTCAATCGTTGATCCGGATCCCATAGGCGATTATGAGAAAGTTGAGGCGTCGATAGATCAACAAAGTTATATACTTGGTAGCATTGAAGTTTAATTTATCGACTTGTTAGCTTTCACGTTTTAAACGGTGAACCCTAAAAAATTTTTTTCGCAATATAGATATGATTGCTCCAACATACAACAAAATTTTGAAAAAAGAACTTCCTCATTTGAAAAATGCAAAAACTCGGAAGATTCCCAACCTTGTGGTTACCCAGTTGTGTGATTCTTGTGAAACCGCAATATTCAGTGGGTATTGGATGTGCTGTGTTTGTGGACGGGAGATTTGCCTGGATTGCTTCGACGATTGGGACGATGAGAAGGACAAGAGGGTGAAGTGTAGATGTTCTTATGCGCGAACTCACACGAAAGAACAAATGATTCCCATATATCACTATACTCATGATGAAATCACGCGTCTCATTGAAGAGACGGAAAAAAGGATGGCGAACCGCGACGATGATGGGGTGGTAATCGAAGAGGATGATTACGAACTTCCCGATCCCATTCCACCCCTTGCCCTCGTACAACCTGACAATTTCACGCAGCTGGATCTAGAGCAAACTACCAACGTGGATGGTGAAAATCCTCACCTATCAAGTGACAAGGTCAAAGATGAATTATATGCCTCTCCATCAGAGCCTCAAACGCGTATTGTTAATTTTGAGGTCGAAGGCGAGTCTCGAAAGGAGTGTGCATCTGAATCTAAAGTCAAGGTCGAGTCAGCCAACTATACTTCTCTTGAATTTTTGGCATTAAATGAGACGAGCGCCGAGTCTCATGGTGATCAGAATGGTGAGGGTGCAAGGAATTTGTCGCAAAAGTCATCTGACCATGAAGGTCTCGAAGCACCATTTCCGACTGTGGCATCCGATATACCTGTACCTGAACCTCCTCCGCATGATCGCCCCTCTCAACCGCATGATGAACATCAGAAGGTTGTGTGGGATGCTAACGATTTAACCAATGAAATTTTTCAAGGATTCTGGAGGAAAGGTTATCCAATTCTGATCAAGAAATTGAAAAAAAAATTGTCTCCTCAATTGTGGTCTCCTGGATATTTTAAAGATATGTATGGTTCTGTTCAGTGTGAGACCGTTGACTGTAACACCGGGAATATTCGCTGCACAAGCGTGAGGGCATTCTTTGAAGGATTTCAAGACATTGAGAAACGGTTAATTGTTGATGAAAAATATCCATGTTTAAAGCTCAAGGTATATGATTGCTTTTCAATGAAATTACATACGTTCAAACTCGATTATTAATCTGGTCTTGAATTTTTTCGTAACAAGGATTGGCCGGCGACCGATGACTTCGCTAATATGTTTCCTGACCATTTCGACGATTTCATGGATGTGTTGCCTTTTAAGGAATACACAACACGGAGTGGCGTTTTGAATTTGGCCCATCGACTGCCGATTAATATGAATCGACCCGACCTCGGGCCCAAAATGTATAACGCCTATGGCTCTGACGACGGTGAACATGGAATAGGCACAACAAACCTTCATCTTGACATGACTGATGCTGTGAATATGATGGCCTATGCACCTGCGGTGGAGGATCGTCTCGAGGGAGAGAAGGACAAGCCGGCAGCAGCTGTTTGGGACATCTATCATTATCGCGATCTTCCCAGAGTTCGTAGATTCTTGCGCAAGATTGCCAACGAAAGGGGCTTGAGAATAGATCATCCCATACATGATCAATGCTTTTACTTGAATGCAGTATTACGTGAGCGCCTTCTTAAAGAAGAAGGTGTTACTGGCTGGAGGCTATATCAAAATCCAGGTGACCTTGTCTTTGTTCCTGCTGGCTGTGCCCATCAAGTCTGCAATTACACTAGCTGCGTAAAGGTGGCCGTTGATTTTGTATCGCCTGAAGGGGTAGGACGAAGTTATAATATCAGTCAACAATTTCGAAAGCTGTCGCGCTCTCACAAAAGGAGAAGAGATATTTTGCAACTCCAAAGTATCCTTCATCATTCATGGTCGACGGCTCGTATAGGCAAAAAAAAAGGAGAAAAAGATGCCTAGCTTTGTCTGTTGGAGATATTTCGTGTAGATGAAAACCTCTTGCATGGTATATCCATTTGACAAGAATGAAGGAACGAATGTCACGTCTCTTTATATTGTTAACAAAAAAATTTATGCACAAGATAGACAGAATGAATATTTACAAACAGGATAATCAGAAGTTGGAACTTGTAAGATATAACGGTTAACATTTAGATTTAATTTGAATCGTCTTCTCCAAAATTACTTGGACGTCTGTCGGATTATCTGAAGCATTCCGGTGACATGTAGATAAAGTTTTGCAGTATCGAAATAAATAATTCTGTGAATAATTTGTCCTTTAAATTAGTACGAGCTGTTGTCTAATATTTGAGAACGGTTGCTATTATTTTTTTTATCAATGATTATTTATTTTTTTTCTTTCTGATTGAAATGATTATCTTAATGGTGGTATTTAAACATCTTGGTAAATTGAAAGTCTATAATACGAGATTGATTCTCCTTAATCTTCTTCGTACAGCACATTAACAGAAAGTTCCTTTTGGGCTTGAGACATCGCTAAATTATAAACCTTTGTGTACTTCTCGATGGGGCCTCCTCTACGATTCCAACTTAATCTCAATGCATCTTTAATTAAGCCTCTGAGAAATTTTTCTTTTTCTTGTGAACTAACATCGAATCGATCACAATCCTTCAATGCAATGGTCAGTGCTTCTTGTAACCCTTCGGTCGATCGACGATTGTTCGTTTCAAATAAATAACTATTGTACCCATCTGTCATATGCCTATGGGTTTTGTTTACTAAAATCTCAGACAGTCTTCCTGCCTCAGTGCTGATTACAGTTGCGCCAAATAATAACGCTTCGGCCACCGCTAATTCAAAACTTTCGGTGGGACTTGATACAAATTGAATATCGGTTGCTGCGCGATACAAAACTTCCCATGTTGATTGAAACTCTAAATCATCAATTATAATTATGTTGTCCGGATATTTCGATTTAATTCGTTGCAAGTAGCTTATTGGATAATTGTCGTGTTGCCCCATGATAATGAATTTCGCACCATGCTTTGTTATGATCTCGGCGATTGGGGTAAAAAAGTCCAAACCCTTATGATACTGAAGTTTCCCAACGTATAGTAGCATGTGCCGATCCAAATCTTCTTCATTTAATAATCCTTCTTTTATCAGGTACTTCCTCGCATTTTGTTTTGATTCCGTCACAAGGTCTTGCGATGATTCGCCGATGGATTCGGCAAATAAAAGTGCATCGTCAAAGGCGTCAATGTTCTTTGGGAAGTTGGAATTGGACTCCAAGAGCATTAAATTGTCGAACGGATTAAACCTATTGAAATTTATCCCGTTCGTGATACCAATCCAATGCCCGGTTGTGGCTCGATCAAGTATACTTGGTATTATTAATTCTTTCGCCTTAAAATCCAACGAATCTTCCACCATTTCTCTCGCTTTTGATTCAGAAACGAGAGTGACGGCTTGTGAATTATCGATCGCAAATGCTGACGGATGAAATTGCCGTCCATGAATATGTTTCGCAAGGTTCGATCGATTTGTTAAATTCATAAATTTTCCTAAATTTCTGATCGAGTTGGAATACAGAGGCTCTTCGAAATAATTGTGTAAGGTGTAAACGATAGCGGGTGATGGATTCTTAAGATCCTTCTGACCAAGTTGTCTAACGAAATCCAATACCAATGCATTTGTGGCCCCATGCAAATGCACGATGTCTACTCCCCTGGAATCGGATGGAGAGAAAAGTGATGTTTCTGGAATCTCATTTAAATAAATAATGAGCTCTGCCGCGGCTTTACAAAAGTAGATGTCTTTCCATTCCCGTGGTAACCCACGTTGCGTCGAATGAATGTCCAAAGAGTTCGTCGTCCTGAATGCCAAAGTGAATGGGTAAAAATCGATCGCACGTCCAATCAAGTAGACATGATGCCTCCGAAGGGTTGAGTGATCTGAACTATCGGTGAAATTCCAGTTAATCCTTCTGACGCTGAACGTGACCTTTGCCCAATTACCGTAGCCATCTTGCACATCGATGCTCAATTTCGCAAAGTCCTCGTGTGGATATAACTCATTCAGATGAGAATAATGAGGCATTATTATGTTAATTCTAAGTCTTTTGTCAGCAGTTTGTCCTTTCGCCAACGCTGTCACGGTATGACCTAGCCTTCCCACAACGGCACCTTCAAACTCTTTTGTGACGTGATATATTGTGGTTCCACGCGGAAGGTCAGTGGTTACATTCGGAGGAAATCCGAGATAAGGTTGCGGTGGATAAAATTGGATTTCTACATCGACGATATGCGATCATTGATGAAATGTGGAGCATAGTCAACCAGATCAAGCAGAAAACATAAGGTAATTGAGTCAGTCTACTTACCCAATTTCAGCTCATCACCATATACAGATAATACTATTACAATGAATAATAATACAACAAATCCAAATGAAATTAAAATGAGTAATATAAAAAAGTCCCACCTAACTTTTTCAACCAATGATGCACAAAAAGGAATTTTACGTAAATTTCTCTTTACATTATTACTAAAACGTTGCAGGGAATTGATGTTATAATTATTTACACTTTGATTTACCATTCTATCACTAGAACTTATTATTGACATTTCCGTAAGGAAGATTCAAGTTTTCGATTATTATGGAAAAACGGACAACGAGAGAGAAAAGGCCGATTTATATTATGTGCGTCAAGAATTGTGTAACAAGTG